TATTTGAAGAAAAATGGGATTAAACACCAATTAACTGTTCCTGGAAATCCTCAACAAAATGGAGTAGCGGAAAAAATAAATGTAAAGGGATTATTTTTGCACCCAGTTTACTTCTGTCCCTTATGACGTCACCGTTTTTAACGGAACACATTATATATTTTTAATTTGTATACAATTATATATAATCCAGTGAAAACCTCGTATAGTACAGTCATATTCGCTCCTAAGTCAGATGTGTTGTCGATCTAATTGCACCTGCGGTCTCTCAATATGCGAAGCAGACATGCTACCGCTGCGCCGACACCCGCTGTAATTTGGTTGAGGAATTGAGGATTGTTTTACATGTTATAAGCATCGTATGCAACAACACCATGTCAAGTTAAAAGAGAACTATTTTTAGAATTTTAATCTTGAAGTTTTTAAATTAAAATAGATACCGATAGATATAAGACTCAAATAGTTCTAAATTAATCATTAAGCTATTTCCAATAAACTCTTGAGACTTTAATTGGTAGCGTTATCGTTATAATTGATTTTATTTTGTACGCTCTACAATACCTTTTTAATTTTGCTTTTCTTTTATAAAAGCAAACATTTTCGCTTAATTACTAATTTTCGCTTGTCTTTTTAGTGGAGCGTAAATTTAACATCATATTGCAAATAAAAAATATCAGCTTTTTATAATTAAGTTTCAAAATTATTAATTAAAGATTATATTTAATAAATTGTAGTGATACAGGCATGGTTAAAGTTGAACACTTATTCTATAATATTAGTTCTCTAATGATTGCTTGAATTCTATGAATTATTTCTATTTCATATTGCATAGTTACATCGTGGCATTTTTTTTTTGTAAGCCTGATGCTAGCCGAAACTAGTTGTTTTTCCCAAAATGAGTATGCTATGGTAATGTAATTGATAACATTTTGACACTTATTTTAACACAAATTAATTTAATTATTAGATATTAAAAAAATCGGTAAAGTTTTTTACCCAGATCTTCCCTCGACATAAAAATTGTAAAAACAACATTACAACGCAGTGGAGTCGTGCAAACTGGAAACGCTTATATTATTCGTTTCCTGCGCGACCTGTAAATTTCACATGGAATTGTGCAAAGAGTAATCGAAAACGATCAGTATTTGCTCAGTGCGAAGTTATGGTAGGGGAAGCAAAAGCGATACTAGCGCAAGCTGCAGATAATTCGAGCACTTTAGGGCGATATTTTGTAATTTTGGTGTATCAAATACACGTATATATTTTACATTCTTTTCAAAAAATGGGTAAAACCAATACAATGAGCAACCGGAGTTGCTGTGTTGTAAATTGTAAAACTACTAGTAAAGAAAAACGGTGTAAATTACATAAATTTTCAGTAGCAAAATTGAAATTAAATCAAAGAAGTAAATGGATAGCTGTACCTAAAATAAGAAGAAAAAAGTACCTTTACTTTTGTATTACCAGTATTACGGGAAATAGTAGATATCAAAAAGTAGAAAGTTTTTAAATAAACAATTTTACAATGTTCTTCAACATCCCTTAAATCTTAAATGTTCAGCAAGGACTAGATTTCTGCCTTTTAATATGGTATGTGGCTGGAATGCAATTTTGTGACATATTGATAGGAAACCAGTTTTAATTATTAATTATATGTTTTTTTTAGAACTAAAAATAAATAAAATAAAAATTACAATCGCATAATACACCAATTATTTTTCTTCTGGTAATACATTTTGATTCCTCGTTATTTAATGGTAATTTTTTATTTTGACATTTTTTTAACCCATTCTTCAATGACAACTTATTGTGCTTAGGCAACTTCTCATGCATTTTCTCGTAAATACTGTTGTAGAATTTTTGGTAAATTCTTTATATTTTCAAATAATAATAATGCCAATTATTACACGGAGCACATTCTTCGAAGATGCAATCTTACATCTTCATTTTTAATATAATCTTGACGCAAACCTACATTCTTAATCTCCACAAGCACTGATTAAAATGGAAATTTCAGCCCTTAACTTTGGTGTTAGGAAATACATATTTTAGTGCTAAAATAACACTCTTCAAAATTCACCTGTCAGACAACAGCTGTTGATAGTAAAGGTGAAATTTCTAAGGCGGGTTGCGACCTTCATACTTGCAACCATAGCCATTTTGGAGGCTATTTTTATTCGAAATTAGTCGCCATGCCTGCCAATTTATGAAAAATATGTAAGCAGTTTCTTAAAAATGAATTTTTTTATAATGGTGCTAACTTAAGCGTACTACTGTTTCGCCCCTAGTCACAAAAACACCTTCATCAAATTCACTGGCTCTCTGTCGTAACCCCATAGAATAATTAACCGGTCATTTTATTTGGCAAAAATCAGAATAATACTTGGCTGTGCCTGTCAAGTATCAGGATATCAACTGTGATGTGTGAATGGCTCTTAGATGTCAAATTATTTAAAAATGTATACTTCTTTCGATATTTATTGCAAATAATTTGTAGTGTATCTCAATTCAGGCTTTCCATAAATAAAGGTACAGCAAGACAGATAATATAATGTTCAATTAAAGTTGAAGGTAGTAGCCATGTGTGAGTTATATGTTCAAAAAAGAGGTAAATAAAACAAGGGTGGTCCTTAAGATCTCACAAGAGTAATTTAATACGACCGGTTTCGAGGAGATCAGATCCTCATCATTAGGTATAGTCTAAAATAGGTAGGTAAAAACGAATGAGCTCATAACTAATAAAGTGGGTTTAAAAAATTATGAAAGTTGTCAAATATCAAGAACTCACCCGTATTACTCATCTATTTAAGACTAAGCTTAGAGATTATCACAGGGTCGGTGTAAAAAAACAAGTATGCGAGTATTTTTTAAGAAATACATAAAAACAGTAGTTGCAACAAAAAGTTGATGTCAAAACACAAATAGGTCTAAAACTATTAATTAAAATTATTAAAATATTATTTTAATTAATAGTTTTAGACCTACTTGTGTTTTGACATCAACTTTTTGTTGCAACTACTGTTTTTATGCATTTCTTAAAAAATACTCGCATACTTGTTTTTTACACCGACCCTGTGATAATCTCTAAGCTTCGTCTTAAATAGATGAGTAATACGGGTGAGTTCTTGATATTTGACAACTTTCATAATTTTTTAAACCCACTTTATTAGTTATGAGCTCATTCGTTTTTACCTACCTATTTTAGACCATACCTGATGATGAGGATCTGATCTCCTCGAAACCGGTCGTATTAAATTACTCTTGTGAGATCTTAAGGACCACCCTTGTTTTATTTACCTGTTTTTTGAATATAATGTTCTTATACAAAGCACTTTTAATTATACGATTTTGGATTACATATTCAACCAGCGAATTGTAAATAATAATTAGTAAACTCGTAGTCATAAATTTCCTTAATTCATAAAATTTCAAAATGAATCTTCTTACCTTGGGATTTTAAAGACGTAATGTGATCAACCCATTTCAAATTTTGATCAATTATGATACCGAGGTATTTTGTTGTGTTTTTCATTTTAATTATAAAGTTGGCATTTATTTGTATGTTGAAAGAAGGCCTTTGTAAATTACATTGCTGTCTATGGATCTACTTTAACACAAAAATAGTTTTGTGGCTATAAGTTGCTATAACCTATCGTCGCAAAATTATTAATAATTTAAACATAGTAAGTAGTATTAATATAACATCAAGTAATTTTTTAAAATAAAGTACATGACCTCAAAAAAAATAATTTATAATAAATGCGGGTAAAACGAGGGGTAAAATAACAATAAATTAAGGGAAATACTTACAAAGGGCAGGTTTAAAGAGTATTATCACAAGAAAGTATATCCGTTCTGTTTATTTATCAAGTATTGTTTGAGGTTACTTTTAAATACATTTAATGTTTTTTTTTATTTCTGTAGGCAGTCTATTAAATTTTTTAAACTTTTAATAAAAATTATATTTTGGGAACTTTTAGTGATGGCTTGCCGTACATGAAAGTCAGATTGGCTTCTTGTATTATAGTTGTGATATTGCGAATTATATTGAATTTTTTTCTAATAGATCTGAGGCGATGGTACTATGTCATTTTTATTTTATAAATAAATATCAGTCATGTACTGAACATAATTCTGAACTGAAAGTAAATTTATTTCTTTTAACATAGTTACAATACTCATCCTTCTGTTCTTTATTAATAAAATATAAATAGGCGAAGTAAGGAGTCCAAATATTTTACATGAGTAGGCTTAAGAGGTAAAGGGGCTAATTATTATTGGATAAATTGCTCGAACAAGTTTTTAAACCTTAATCAAAAGGCGATATAGAATGGTTTTAAAAATCAAGACTTGTGAAAATCATCACATGGTTTAACCTAAGTAATGCCAATGCTTCACAAACCAAAAAATTCAACGTCCTAATACTACTTTCGGTCTTTCGTTCCAAGTTAAATCATTTTTCGTTTTTGTTACGTTACGAGTTTACCCTTGTGTGCCTCAGTCTCGATAAGGTGGGAACCACCATTTTGGCGTCTCTCAAATTTTAAGTTTACTTACCTACCTAATTACCCTTTTATCTATCCTACTTGGATACAAACAGGGTGCAGGTGCATGCTCGAAAGGAAAGCTTGGAAGCAAGCATGACAGTTTTTCGTGCAAGGCGCAAGTTCCACGAACCACACTGGAATCTTTAAAAATTTGTTAAAATACTCCTCTATATATGCCTTCTGTATTCTATAATAATAATAATAATGATATTATCTGTTTTTCTTCCTGATAGCCGAGCAGAGGCAACTTAAAGATAGTTGTACTAAAGAATGTTGCTATAATGTGGAATGACTCAGTTATTTTATTTTCCTATTTTTCTTCGCCAGAACTAATATTAAATAAGAAGCCTCTATTGGACGTATATTACTTGTTGTAATCCTCTATAGTCTATGTCTGTACTATTTGATATCACTAGTATAATAAACATTAGTAATATATATTTATTTTTTTTTCAGAATCTTCTTTTCTACTACGATTCAGAACATTGTCATAGACCCTTAGGCATTTTGATGTTAGAAGGTTCCTACTGCGAAAGACTAATCACGGCTGGCAGTACATCCAAATCCAAAGATTGCTCCGAAAGACAAGTAAGTCTAAATTAATCATAAATTATTAGAAACTGTTATTGGTATGAGAGGGTGAAAATAGACTCTAACTGAAGATTTTTTCATTTTCAATATCTGTTTTAACTTCAAAACATTAAATAAGTAAGTTGTTGTCTCACTAATGTAATTGACAATAATTCATTAAACATTGAAAAATAAATCAGTTTGTGACCGTGATTGCCTAATTTTAACAGAATTCCGAGAAGTTTTTACCTTTAACATTGCAGTTTATGATGTTTTATATAACGTCAGTAAATTTTACCAGAATGATGTACTAGTTGTATTTTTAAATAATCATTTAATTGCAAATACGATATTTTTGAAATCCACGATAATATAAAAGCTATTCAGTTAGAAATAAAATCTGAAAATAAACATAGAGCTATTATTACTGCAGTATATCGATCACCAGATTCAAATTTTGTTGATAACCTAAACGCTCTTTTAGAAAGAAATAATATTGCATTAACAAACGAATATATAAAAATTTTAAAATAAATTAAATTCATTAATTGACAAAAACAAAGTCGAATATTATAAAAACGAACTCCATGACAATAATTCATCTAATTCTAAACACTTATGGTCTATAATAAATAAAATTTAAAAAGATGAGTTTTTGAAAAATGTATGGCTAGTGAAATCAAAAAGATCCTAGTTAAAAATATAAGAGAAAAATGATGCTGAATTGTTTTGTGTTCCAAAATTGAATATTTAAAACTTTTCATTTTTGTTAGAAAGTATGAGGCAGTGATGTTAGAAGATATCAGTTAGATTAGTTGTTAAGTTATTTATTTTTATGTAGGACACTGTATCTTACGATGTATTTTTTGATGTTGTTAATTTTGAAAAAATAGAACACGTAAAATTTAGTTTGCACATCTTTATTGAATATTAAACTGGGAAACCACACTTTGCCAAAAGGTTCTGCAGTTTTCTGAGAAGTGATTTGAAAACAAGAATAATTTTTTGCCAATCTTGGACTGAAATTTTACAATATCTTAGCAGTAACATTTAACTTCATAACAAAAATTTGCTAAAACATCATCATTTGAAATGAATACTCATAGTTAAACATAAAAAAATAATTTAACAGTTAAATGTCATATTTATTAAGCTGGCTTAGATAATACTGGGTAAATTATTCTGTTTCATTCCTGTCTCGAGATCATAGCTAACCTCGACGCTTCGCGCCTCGGTGATCTAACTAATCTCACGACAGGAATGGAACTTTTCGCACCTCGGTGTGTAATGTACTATTTCCATTTGCACTGGCAGTACGCACTCAGTGTCCTTGTTTATCGATATCGAAAACAAGAAAGTGAGAATACACTCAGAATGCACTAAACGTAAACAATCGGAATGGGAATAGTGTAGTGACTTTGACAGCTGACACATGTCATTCGAAGTGATGATATTTGAAAAAGTTAGAGACGATAGTTTAAAAGAAATTGAAAATACATCAAAATACTTGATGGAACTGGAGAGGATCAAATAATGTAGAAAAACTTACTATTTTGTTTTTAAATTGTGCCGCACTGCGGCTTGTGGCAGATATTAAAATTTGAAAACTATGGGGAGCTTCAGAAGGCTGGTACAGTAAACGCAAAATCTAAAGAACCAAAGACGCGCATTTATAATGCTACGAACACGCCTACCGATGAATAGAATTGGTAGCTTACCTAGAAAGTTGTAAACCAGGGGCGCGTATATTTTAAGACATAAAATAAATGGAAAATAGTGAATGATACTTGTTCCTACATATTGCTTAGTGTTATTATTAGTACATAATTCTATAGTCAATTAAAAAATCATTATTTTTAAGTAAGCCGACTTTAGGTTAAGGCTGTTCTACCGCTTTCCGTTCGGTATTTATATAAAATTCTGTTACGGTCAGGAAATTATCCTTATTCAAATAAATTAAATTGTCGTAAAATTGTATATTGGTCGTACTTTCAAAAAAACCTATTTAAAACATTACAATAGTTATACTAAAAACAAAAATAATTCTACAAAACATATTTTTATCTGAAAATCAATCGTTTATACAAAAATTGTTTCACATTTTGAGAATAAAGGCATTAAATTAAACCATTTAGAAACACTTGAAATAAATAGATTTAAAAATTAAAATATCCTCTTAAGTAATCAACTAGATATTAATAACTGAGCTTAATTAAATCTCTTTACCTGTTCTTAGTTTTCTGTGAGATAATCCCGGTAATGATATCTTATTGGTAATTAGTTTATTTTGTACATGTATTAGAAATGTAAAAGAGTCACATTTCAAGAAGAAGTTGTACTTAGAAACAATTATCGTGCAATTTTTAATTCTTATTTCTTTAAATAAAAGTGTGAAAATCTACCATGTTTGGTTTTTCTCATTTTAAAATGGATTTTCATCAAGTAAACGCCGGAACTATCAAGAAATTAAAATGAAATGGTATTAAATACTTACCACTCGTGATATGTCTTCGTCAGATTCTTCGTTGGAAGAAGATTCGTCATTGTCGTCACTGGAATCCTCATTACGATTAATGACGATAGGATTAATTTCCGAACATAAATCAGTTTGTATTTCTCTTTCAAAATATTTATCTTCTACCTTTATAACATGATCGCATCTCCTTTTCTATTCCTCTATACCAATTTTGTTAAATTCTTCTTCTGCTAATTGTTTTACGTCTTCTAATTTAAAGGTAACATTCCTTTGACTGACATTATTCTTAACAGTTGCCCAAATCAATTCGATAGGGTTCAAGTCGGGGTGATATGGGGGTAACCGTAAAGCGATGTGGCCATATTCTCGACACAACTCATCAAATGCATATGTTACATGTTGGTCCTTATGAGATTTAATCAGTTCATATAACTCTGGTTTCAAACTTGTTGGATTAAAAGGTATGTTGTATTTTGTCAACCATTCGATCATATCATTCTTTAAAGAATTGGATTTAGGTGCTCGATTTGTCTGTACATTGTGATAACTAGCATTATCACAAACAATTACTGAATTAGGTGGAAGATTAAGTATTAACTTCTCTCTTAACCATTTGCCGTGATCTTCCGAATTCATTTCGGAATGATAATCTCCAGACTTGGTCCCTGATTTAAATATCAACAAACTATTTTTGATAAAACCCATTTCTCCCCCACCGTGAACTATAATAAGCCTTTGACCTTTAGAAATAACAGAAAACAAACCTTTTGTTGAATCGTCTGTCCAATTCTTGGAAGAAGTATGTCCGTTATGTATATATGTTTCATCTAAATAAACGATTGGTCTATTTTGACTTCTAAAATATTTTATCTGTCTCAAATATTTTACTCTTAAAGTTCTTATTTTTATATTTTCCACTAAAACTTTACGATTATTTTGTGTTTTTCTCTATTTAAATTGTAATTTTTTAAGGACTCTTCTTAATGAAGTTTCTGATAAGTGGATATCTAAATCTTCCTCAATTTTATTATTTAACCTTTTAACAGTAACACGAGACTTTTCTGTTATATGAAAATCGTAAATTATTCTTCGAATTTCCCTCAATTGATATTCAGGGAGATTCGTAGCGGTTGATTTTTTGACGAAGTTTTTCCTAGGTGTGGAAAATGTAATTTTCCAGTTGTTTCCATTGACTGTTTACCTTCCTTGAAAATTCTTTTAACGGTAGTATAAGAAACACCTGTAAAAACGTAATATTATATTAATGTTAAATTTAGTATTTTTTTACATTTATTAGGAAACAAACATTTTTAGAAACAAGATAGATTTTAAAAATTTAAATATAAAATATTAATAAAAAATAAAATGCATAGATATGTGTGTAAAATACAAAAAAATATGAAAAACTACGCAAGTTTAATTGCAAATAAACTACAGAGTATGTTTACCTGTTGCTTGTGCATTTTGAAGTTTGATATCATCTAAAGTAACTGCTTCCTTTTTTGTTGCGTGAAAATATTTAAAAACATTGTATATTACTTCATGACTTTGTCCGTTAATAACAGTCACTTTAACCAAAACACAGAAACAAGAAACAAACAATGATCTAGTCGTTACGCTACTGACCGTAAGCAAGGACAAGGTTCAAATTGAGAATGGGCGTGGCGATTTTTAAGTAAATGAACATGCATTTGCATTTGCGCTGGTTCTTTAGATTTGGCGTTTACAATATAGCTATGTATTTTATTTTTTATATCATGGGTATGTATAACATACATATATTGAAATAAAATGCTTGGTCCAAGGCCAAAAGATATTTTTAATATTGTGATTGACATTTTTAAAAACTAATTCATATTAATTTTTAGGTAAATTGGTTATGTAGGTTATTTACGTACTGTAGATAGATGCAATTAGTCATGGTTTGAAAAAAATATTTACTGAGTACTTATGTAGTTCGCAAGAGAAAATTTTAGAATATCAAATTTAAAATGAAATAAAAGAAGTCTTTAATAGTATATTACGTAACAAGAGTTGTAAATAATCCATTACGTACGAAGCCGCGCAGCGGCGAGTGCGTAACTTTCTCGAGTGCGTAATGGGCTTACAACTCGTGTAACGTACTATACTTTTTCTACGCCCACTTATTTTCTTCTATTAAATAAAGGACATATGCTTGTGTCACCAATCAATAAATTTTCGATAGGTAATTTCGTACCTTTCTTTGTATTTTAGCGGTAATAAATTATGTGTGGCAGCTTGAGCTTTTTCCAATTTTCATAATTTCATCACTTTCACTACTAACAGACATATTCGTAGGTAAAGTTGAGAAAATGTTCGAATACAATATTTTGTTACAACAATTGACAATATAAATGGTAAGACGTTTATTTCCATAAGAAAACGCGACTTATTTTTTGAAACATTGTATAATGTGTTGTCGACATTTAGGGGCATCTCTTTTTTAATTCAGAATATATCTCGCTAATGCTTAAAGTGTTTAAATTTTTCAATTGACTAAATTTATATAAATAGACCAAAT